CCTGGGCTCGAGAGAGAGGCTCTGGGGATAGGGCAAAAGAGTAGCATTGAGAAGGTAAGAACAGAGAGGATAAGAACACCTTCAAGGGGCCTCTATGGCATTGTGGGATGGCAGGATGAGCTGCTTTCTGTGTCCCCACCCCGCTTCAAGTCAGGCTAGTGTGATGTGAACCCATCTCTTGCACTGCATTTCCATTTAGAGAGGCGCAGAGGAGGGCAAGCTTCTATCCAGCAATTTGTTTTTTTGTTTTGAGTTGGAGTCTCACTTTGTCACTCAGGCTGGAGTGAAGTAGCACGCTGATGGCCACCGCAGCCTCGACCTACTGGGCTCAGGCAATCCTTCCAGTTCAGCCTTCCAAGTAGCTGGAACGACAGGCACGTGCCACCATGCCTGGCTAATTTTTCTGATTTTTATTGTATAGATGAGGTCTTACCAAGTTGCCCAGGCTGGTCTTGAACCCGTGGGCTCAGGCAATCCTCTCATCTTGACCTCCCAAAGTGCTGGGATTATAGGCCCGGCCTATCCAGCAATTTGAAACTTTGGATTTCTATAGTGACCTTTGGGATCTGGACTACTAGGCAACAGTTATGAAATCCCAAAGATGAGCAGTGAAGACTGGTCTGGTGCTGTGCTGGACATATAAGGATCAAAGGACTCCTGTTTGCCTTTTTGACAAGACTCAACCCAAATCTGTTTCCAAAAAAGAAGATTCATTTTCTGTCATTCTTCATTTACTGTTAGACATCCTGAAATAGCTAAGGCAGAGTAGAAGAAATGGACAGAATCTGGAGTGACCTAGACATACTTTATCTAATCCACAGAAGTAGATTTTTGTCCTACCAAAGGTTGAACAAAACCGAGCTTGCTTAAGAAAAGGTACTCATGCCCTCTTCACTAGGGAAGGGAAGGGTTATAAGTCTGGTCTGCCTGTGCTTGCACAATCACCAACGAATCTTCTTCATGACCTCTGTGACTTTATCACTACCCAACTCTGTCCTTTATCACTGCTCTAACAAAAAAGAAGAAATGAAAAGAAAATAGTGTCAAGATTTTTTTGTCATTTTTCTCAACCCAAAAAGAAATCCCTCAAGTTTGGAAAGAGGAACTCAGTTCTAACAATTTGGGAAGAGTTGAGGAAGAGGATGGAGAAGAGAGACAAGTTAAATAAACATTTTTTTTTTTTTTTGAGTCGGAGTCTCACTCCATCGCCCAGACTGGAGTGCAGTGGCCGCTCCTGGCCACTGCAGCCTCGACCAGCTGCGCTCCGGCGATCCCTCCGCTTTAGCCTTCCAAGTAGCTGGAACAACAGGCGCGCGCTACCATGCCCGGCTAATTTTTTTATTTATTGTAGAGATGAGGTCTCGCCAAGTTGCCCAGGCGGGTCTCGAACCCGCGGGCTCAGGCAATCCACTCACCTCAGCCTCCCAAAGCGCGGGATTACAGGCTAAGCCACCGAGCCCGGCTTTAAATGAACATTTAATTAAAATAACAGAAAGTCTGAAAGTTCCAAAGTTAGTCTATGGTCTTATTTTGAATGGAGTTGGTGTCAGGCCTTCTTTTCCATTCTTAGACTCACAGGTACAGAGCTGCAGAATTGTGGAGGAGGTTGGTTGTCCTTGAGTGGAGTGGTCTAGATGATGGACTGATATTCTTTGGAGATTCAGTCTAGTGTATTCAATGGATTCTCACATCTGTTTTGCAGTCTGGTCTGGCAAAGAAGTGTTCAGAATCTCCAAGAGCACCTACCTGCCTTTCAGGGCTCTTTGACAAGTGTGACTTCTGTATATCTTGAGTCATATTTTATATCAGTTTTCATTGGCTGTTGCCTCTATGGCTCTGATTAAAAGGAAAAAAAATTGCCAAGAGATCTGAAGAAGAGTTCTAACCTCAAGGGAAATCCTACTCTGAAGTATTTCTCTAATGAGATCTTTCCGTACCAAATCCTCATTATTTTGTTTTGAGGCACTGGAAATGTTTCTAGTAAGATCCCTCAAAGGGAGGTGTGGGGAATAACCTCATCAGTACTGTAAAGTTTTGGAAGACTGCTAGTTCCTTACAGGTGTTATGAGATCACAACTGATCGTCCTCTCACCCCAAATTCTCATCAGGATTCCTTCATCCGCTCCTTCAGGTTTCTGTTCAGACATCACCTAATCAGTGAAGTCTTTCTTGACCCTCTTCCTTCCCTTTCCTTGTTTTATTTTTCTCAGCAGCACTTATCACCACCTGACATATTGTATTTACTTGTTTGTTTATTGTTTGTCTCTCTTCACTAGAATGTGGGCTCCACGGGAGGAGGGAGATTTGCTCAGCATGGAATCCCTAACACTCCTAGCACAGTGTGTGGCACATGGTAGTCTCTAAAGAAATACTTTTGGGTGAATTAATAGGAGGAATTTCCATATGAATTGCTGTGAGCATAAAGAAAAAGTTGTGAAACATAAACCTCATATTTAAAGTTACCTGGAGTAGATTTGGCATTAGGTTAATCCTCGCTTGATTATGCAGGTCTAGATAGCACATGCTAGGGCAAATAGCTTTGGAAATTCATTTATTTATTTTGCAAAAGTTAATGTTAACCTAGATAATAATGGGGAATTGAACAGAAGTGAAGAAATGAGGTCTAGAATGTAATATAAGCTTAAGGAGCCTCCACTGTAAAATGATGGAGTTGGACAAAGATTGGATGGTTTTTAAGGTTCTTTTAAATTTTAAATTACTAAGGGAGAAAACGTTTAGAATTTGGGGTGTGTGTGTGTGTGTGTGTGTGTGTGTGTTGTGTGCATTCCCGCACTGCCACAATTCACCACAAGATGACAGTATCATCTTCATTAAAACCAAGTACAGTTGCTACATGGAGTAAATAGAAAAAAATCTGGAAGGTTCAGGAGGTATAGAAATTACTTTAGTAAAGATACTATATGTGAGGCATCCATTAGTTTGGGAAGACTATGTCAAAAAGAGTTAACTTTGCTTTGTAACACTTGAAAAATAGTTTGAAATATGGTTTTCTTCCTCCCTTCCTCCCTCTGTGCCTTTCTTTTCCCCCCATCTAGCTTTCTTCCTTTTCATTCCTTTTCTTTCTTTTCCTTTTCTTTCTTTCTTTTGTTTACATTTTTATTTATTTATTTATTATTATTTTTTTTGAGTTGAAGTCTCACTCTGTCACCCAGACTGGAGTGCAGTGGCCGCTCCCAGCCACCGCAGCCTCGACCTGCTGGGCTCCGGCAATCCTTCTGCCTCAGCCTTCCAAGTAGCTGGAATTACAGGCGCGCGCTACCACACCTGGCTAATATTTTGATTTATTGTAAAGATGAGGTCTCACCAAGTTGCCCAGGCGGGTCTTGAACCCGCGGACTCAGGCAATCCACTCACCTCAGCCTCCCAAGGTGCGGGATAACAGGCTGAGCCCCCTGAGCCCAGCCTTTTATTTCTTTCAAGTACTCATTTTATTACATAAAAAAATTCAAGTCAAACAAAACAGAGATATATAAGAAAAGGTAAAGGTAAAGGTTTTCACCATTCTCTTTTAATTCCAACTTTCTGGAGTAACTAATGTTGATAATTTCTTTCTTTTTTTTTTTTTTTGAGTTGGAGTCTCACTCTGCTCCTTTTCATTCCTTTTCTTTCTTTCTTTTGTTTAAATTTTTATTTATTTATTTATTATTATTTTTTTTGAGTTGAAATCTCACTCTGTCACCCAGGCTAGAGTTCAGTGCCACGCTAACAGCCACCACAGTTTAGACCTGCTGGGTTCAAGTGATCCTTCCACTTCAGCCTTCCAAGTAGCTGGAACTACAGGCACACACTATCACACCTGGCTGATTTTTTTGATTTATTGTAGAGATGAGGTCTCGCTGCCCAGGCGGGTCTCGAACCCGCGGGCTCAGGCAATCCACTCACCTCAGCCTCCCAAAGCGTGGGATTACAGGCTGAGCCACCGAGCCCGGCTATAATTTCTTTTTATTTTTCCATTTCTTACTCTATATTTATACATATACACAAATACAGACATATATATTATATTTATTTGGACATAAATTTAGATGGTTTAAAAACTCCTACATCTCTTTCTTATAGTCACAAATAACAACAATGACAACACCACCAACACACACACACACACACACAAACACACAATATGTGCCTAACCCACCTGTAATTGCACTCTGGTTTCTATTTTTTTTCCTGTTTTGAGAAGAGAAACACTTTGAGGAAATTGACACTTCTGCCTTTGACTTAGGTTATTCTTCCCATTTATCTTTCTTTGTTCTTTTTAATTTAATTGTTTATTTTGATAGATTTATGGGGTACAAGTGCAGTTTTGGCACCGGGATATATTGTGTGTTGTTGAAGTCTGGGCTTTTAGTGTAGCCATCACTTGGATAGTGTACATTGTACCCATTAGGTACTTTTTCATCTCATTCCCTCCTCCTATCTTCTCACCTTTTGGAGTCTCCAATGTCTATTCTACTTTCTATGAACATGTGTACACATTATTTAGCTCCCATTTACAAGTGAGAACATGTAGTATTTGACTTTCTGTTTCTGAATTATTTCAGTTAAGACAATGACCTCCAGTTCCATCTGTGTTGCTGCAAAAGACAAAATTTCATTCCTTTTTATGAGTAATACTCAGTAGCATTCTGTTATATCATCTATCTTCTAAACAGTTTCTTTATCCACTTGGTGATGAAACAAGTTGACTTCATATCTTTGTGATTATAAGTAATACTATGATAAAAATAAAAAATGCAGTATCTTTTTGATAAAACTATTTCTTTTCCTTTGGTTTTTACACACGATGCTTTTCAAACTTCACCAGAATCATTTAGATTAAAAATAGTAGATTTATTAGTAGAAAATATTTATGTGAAGACACTTCTGTAAGGGAACCCCTAACTGCTCCTGTGGAAGAAAGCGTAAAGTCTCTTCTTCAAGAAAGGAGCTCCTCCCCCTGTGTTTCTTCTGGGCTTTGCACCCAGATTGGGCTTCCTCACCCATATGGACGGTTCACCTTCTTCAGACTCCACTGACTCAGGAGGCAAAGATGCAGTTCCAGGCTCATGGTGTCCTGCAGCAGATGTGGGGATTTTTTCTTCTTTGTGTTTCCCTGAAGATGGGAGGTAAGTCTCAGTTGAATAGCAAATGCTGCTGAGTTTTCAAAATAATTTTCTTCCAGCTAAATGATTGCAACTTTTGATATTTGTAACAATAGGGTTTTCCTGATAGATATTTCCTTATGAGGAGCTAATTATTACTGGATATCAAATATTAACTACTGCTACTGCTACTACTACTATTATTGCTGCTACTTTGGCCATCATTTATTTCTATCTATAAGGACCTCCTTGATCAATGGCAGTTCTTTTGCAACTACATGGAAACCATTATTATTATTATTTTTCCTCTTTTAATTTTTATTTTAAAATTGTGGAGTACGATTCAGGGTTAGGGATACAAATATTCATTGTGCAGGTACACTTATTGATGAGATGTGCCCCCCCTTCCCCAGGCAGTTATCAACTACTGTTAATCCCACCTCCCCCCCAGCCCCTGCAGGGAAACCATTATTATTATTATTATTTTGAGTTAGGGTCTCACTCTGCCACCCAGACTGGAGTGCAGTGGCTGCTCCTGGCCACCGCAGCCTCGACCTGCTGGGCTCCGGCGATCCTTCTGCCTCAGCCTTCCAAGTAGCTGGAACTACAGGCGCAATACCACGCCCGGCTAATTTTTTAATTTTTATTATAGAGATGAGGTCTTGCCAAGTTGCCCAGGCGGGTCTCGAACCCGCGTGCTCAGGCAATCCACTCACCTCAGCCTCCCAAAGGCACGGGATTACAGGCTGAGCCACCAAGCCTGGCCGAAACCATTATTTTTAATAGTGATGTGGCTTCCAGGTGTACTGTCACTGGTAACAATCATGTGTCTTGTCATAGGTACTGCAGGACAAAGCATTGAGCAGCCCACCGAGTTAACAGCTATGGAAGGAGCTGTTGTCCAGGTCAATTGCACATACAAGACATCTGGGTTCAATGGACTGTCCTGGTATCAGCAACACGATGGCAGAGCACCCATATTTCTCTTTTATATTGTTTTAGATGGTTTGGTGGAAAGAGGTCGTTTTTCTTCATTCCTTAGTCGCTCTGATGGATACAGTTACCTCCTTCTGAAGGAGCTGCAGATGAAAGACTCTGCCTCTTACTTCTGTGCTGTGAGAGACACGGTGACTATGGGGCCTCTTCAGCTGCACCAGAATTCAAAGGCAACCAAAGCAGTGAGAAATTACATTTCCTGAGTGGTTGCCTACTGTGAGTTAGGATTACAGACTTTGGAACCAGATTTCTTGGATTTGAGTTTGCTTCTTCCCAGATGGATGATCTTAAGCCAGTCACTATCTTTTTTGGTTCAATTTCCTCACCTATAAAGTGAGAACAATAATAATATCTACCTCACAGGGTTGTTGTGAATTATGCGTCTATATCTGTATCTACATCTAGCATGTAACTCAGAGAAGTGCTGGCACATAGTAAGCTGTATTTAAGTTTAATTATTTTACTTGTAGTGTTGAATTTTCACTGAATGTTATGTGGCAGAGACTTTGGGATTGGAACTCAGCATTTCTTTACTGTTGGTTTGTGAAGGTGAAATCCTGACAACTATTTGTATCTTATGGATCTAAGGTTACAAGATGGAGTTTGTTTTTGGGGTAGGTTGTTCTGGAGAGACCACTCTGATGATAATAATTTTCTTTGGGGAAACTCTGAACTTTGGAAATCTAAATCCAAATGCTTCAAAATGAGATGTAAGTATATTGAGTATGAGATGTTAAATATGAATTATATAAGTACTAATGTAAGTATTAATTATGCAAGTACTAATTATGTATTTGCAACCTTGAACAATAAATATAATCTTAACATATTTTGGAGGTTTGTAACTCAGGCTAGCAATAGGATTAAGGAGTTATAGACTTAGGGAGCATGAACATAATCAAGAGAGTCTATAGAAAATTAGAAGGAAGAGCAAGTTAAGTATAAGCAACTTGGTGGCAACTGTGGGTGAGGGAGGAGAGGATTCTTGTGACAAGACATAATCAATGGGCATTAAGAACAGTAAAAATTTATAGTAAATGTTAAGATTTTCCTTTCTTGCCTGTAATTTCTTTATGCATCTTCAAATCTTTTAATGAAATTTGTTAAAGGCTACAACTTATTGTAAGCTAGATTTAGAGAATAAATAAATATTGCTGTGGTTGTCTCCACATCAGATAAAGCTGACCCGTAAGTGGAAGCTCAGATTGTAGTTATTGGAATATTAAACTTAGAGGCTGCTCCAAGTTAACATAAGGTATAGTCAGTGATATGTTACATATGTTTTTGAATCAAAGATTAAACAAAATTCTCTTTGAGTGAAGTAGGAATGCTTTTTCATTCTAATTTATCAAATGAACTTTTGAGATGAAATTGGAATGGACATTTTCATGTTGGAAAGCAATCTGATAATGCGAGTCAAGGCTACTAAAATGCTCATGTTCCTTCTGTTTGATAATTCCATTTTTTGGTTATGCAGTTTTTATTACTCTGCAATTCACCTAGCCATGGAAGGGAATAAAGAAAATATGGAACCCAAAGAACTGTAGTGAGAGTACAAAGATTATAGGATATTGCGAGCAAATATGATGGAGGAGTACTCTCCTGAGCTACAGAAGGAATGTTCTGGTAGTTAAGATAAAACAAGTCAAACTGATTAGAGTTGTCCGCAGTCGGCAATGGTGATCTTCTTGCTGGTCTTGCCATTCTTGGACCCAAAGCCCTCTATGACTCGCATAACATTCATGCCCTCTTTCACCTTGCTGAAGACCACATGCTTTCCACCCAACCATTCAGTCATAGTAGTACAGATGAAAAACTGGGAACCATTAGTGTTGGGTCCAGCATTTGCCATGGGCAAGAAACTAGGACCTGTATGCTTCAGGATGAAGTTCTCAGCATCAAATTTCTCCCCGTAGAAGGACTTGCTGCCAGTACCATTATGGCATGTGAAATCACCACCCTGGAACATGAACCCTGGAATAATCCTGTGAAAGCAGGGATCCATATAACTGAATCCTTTCTCTCCAGTGCTCAGAGCATGAACGTTTTCTGCTGTCTTTGGAACTTTGTCTGGAAACATCTCGAAGGAGACATGGCCCATAGGGCTCACTGTTGACAATGATTGAAGAACACAGTGGGGTTGACAAAGGCTAATGGAAGATGATTCAAGGTGGTGACATCTGCAAAGCCTGGTAATTCTATTTTTAAGCTCTTACTTAGAAAGATACAGGATAGAAATGAGATTAGGTGCTTTGGATTTGATGAGTATGAATTCACATATTGTAGCGTTATTCATTAGGGAAAAATATGGGCAACAATATCTTGTATGCTGTGGTCAATGGAATATTTTAAAGTTGTATTAGTTTCTATTGCTGCATACCAAATTACCACGGTACTCATATATTAGCTAAGAGCTCTGAAGGTCATAAGCACAACAAAGTTCAGCTGAGTTCTGTGCTTAGGATATTACAAGACTAAAGTCAAGGTGTTGGCTGACTGAGTTCTCAGGTGGGACTCAAATTCCTCTTTCAAGTTAATTCTTATTATTGTCAGAATTCTGTTTCTTGTAGATGTGGGACTGAAGTCCCCCATCCTTTTTTTTGCTCTTTTTGGGCTGGGGGCATCTTTGAGTTCCTTAAGGCCATCTGCATTCTTTCTCTTGTGGTTCTTACCATCTTCAAATCAACAATAATATATCAAGTCCTTCTCATGCTTGGAATCTTTCTGGCTTCATATTCCAGATAAAGTTAATGTGATTTTAAAATCTCATGTGATCAGGTATCTAGGCAGCTCTCTTTTTAAAGGCTAACTGTGTCATATAACACAGTACAATCATCATGGTGATGTTTCATTACGTTCAAGATTCTGGGGACTAAGGTATGGAATCTGGGGACTATTCCTTGAAATTCTACCTACTACATAGGCAATAAATGATGTTCATTACAACTATTTAAGAACCTTGAGCTGCTTATGATATAATAATTAATCAAGAAAATCTTGGGTGCATAATTGAATATAGAGAATAATCACACCTGTGTAAATACTTTTAGGCACAGAAGAAACATGGAAAGGAATTACAATACTTCCTTTTTTACTGCATTTTCCTGGAGAGGGGGAGAGGAGAGAGAGAGAGAGAGAGAGAGAGAGAGAGAGAGAACTGTCTTTTATAATCTAGTTTCAGAAGTGTCATACCATCTCTTCTCTTGTTTCTTTTTCCAGCTTTAAAAATTTTTCCTTTTTTACACAAAACAAACTAGAAGAACTAACAGAGGATTAAAGCTGCAAAAGTAGTTAATCAATAGATCATGTACACATGAAAAACCCCGGATAGAAAGATAGACTTATTTACAATGAGGAAACACATGTAAAATCAAGATAGTTTTCATATGAAGCATTAAAAAAAAATCAAACATATGTTATAATGGGCACCATTGTAGCAATATTAAAGGGGAGAAAACTACACTTATTTGATAGGGACAGATATACTACAAGGTACTGCATCAGTGCAATACACTTATAAAATCATATTACATTTGGTTAATCAGTTTAAGAATTGTTCCCAAAGAGGTTACATTTTTGGCCTTCAGAGGTTCACTCCTACAGATTTTAACTACTCCAAATTTCCAGGTACTAAAGAAAGAAAGAATGAGTATGAGAAGCTTTCCAAGAAATTATAAAATCTGTGTATACCAGAGGCCAACTACCATTGCCTCAGATCTGCTCTCATCAATAGTCCTTACATTTTTCAGAGTAATATTTAGGAAAAATATCAGTTACCAGCATAGTCACACTCTCCTGTGCTAAATCTTTGGAAACCTAAACAGCCATGATTCTTGACCAAGCATCAAAGACTTTTGTCTTTTACTGGTTGGTCTTGGTGTAAAGGTAATAGACATGAGTTTAGCCTTCAGTATGCTATAGCTAATGTCAGTTGAAAAGCATGAAATTAAAAGAATGCTAAAAATCCTAAGTACAATTTTTTTAAAAGTCTGATATTAAAAAGCCTTTACGGATTTACTAACTTGAAGTCTAACTGCAAGGGGATAAGAGCTCTAAGCCTGTTAGATTTGCCTCATTTGGGAGAAAGGATCAATGTTTCCTACAAATTGCTTAGCTCTGTACAAGGGAGAGACCTACTCATACAAGGGCATGGAATTAGTTTCATTTTATTCTGTTGGGATGCTTCTCCCACAGTAAGGAAACAGGATAAGAAATGACTCTTAATTGGTCTCTTTATCAGAAGTGGTAAACTTGGTCTCTATATTCATGAAGTCAGTTTTTTTTTTTCTTTTTGAGATGGAGTCTCACTCCGTCGCCCAGACTGGAATGCAGTGGCATACTCACAGACACCCCAGCATCAACCTGGTGGGATGAAGTGATCCTTCCACCTCAGCCTTCCAAGTAGCCAGAACTACAGGCATGAGCTACCATGCTGGCTATTTTTTTTTGATTTATTGTAGAGACGAGGTCTCACCAAGTTGCCTGGGCTGGTCTCAAACCTGCGGGTTCAGGCAATCCACTTGCTTCGGCCTCCCACAGTGCTGGGATTACAGTCTGAGCCACGGAGCCCGGTCTATTATTTTAAATGAAGTAATCCAAAAGTAAGAATTCAATTAATATCGGGTGAGAAAAAATAAAAACAAGTCATAATCACTAATGAGTTGCCCATATAAGGCCAACCAATGAGAATGCTCTCAACTATGCTTGATGTGACGACACTGTATAAATCCTTACTTGGCAAGTCTGTATTTCTATTAACTAAGGGCAGAATGAGGGAAAGCAAAGAGCTGTTTCTTTAACATGTTAGTATCAGATAGTATAGTTAAAACTGTTCCCAGGCAATGTATGTGCCATTAATCACATCAGATAAAGCAGATGAATTATCCATTTTCTTTTTTTGTTTGTTTGAGAAGTTTGTTTATCTCACTTTTTGGCCACTCCAATGTACTTCAAAATGATTCCATGTTGGTTTAGTTCAGGAAGCAATAGTAAGAAAGTCACTATCATGTAGGCAAGGAGCGAGTTGTGGACTTGCTGTCCCAGTCAAACAATGGCAGCAAGATAAGTCATCATGGTTGTGAAACACATATTAGCCTTTCTTACTGTTAGTATGAAGAGATGTTTCTACCAGTCCACAACTCTGTGTCAAGTGTTTCCTAGATTGCTGCAAATTTCATGAAATCTTTGATGTTGTTCAGTAGTC